TAGGTACAATGCAACCACCTGTAACCCTGACACCTGTGGTAACCCTGACCCCATCCTCTCACCTCTTCAGGTAGGTACAATGCAACCACCTGTAACCCTGACACCTATGGCAGGGGTCGAATTAGCCGCTAGCCCGCTAGCCCGGGACTAGTAATTGTTTGGAAGGGCTAGTTAAAGGCCAGGCTGGCTTGCCCGTCGGGCAATTAAACAATTCCAGATCAGATTTCGTAATTCCGCCCGTTTTAGGATATATCAGTGTATGATTAATGGGAATTTAATTGCGGTTTGTGAGCATTCAAATTCAGTCCACAATACCCTCAGAAAGCATCTCGGAGCATTCGTGATCGAGATCAATAATTTTCCCGCGCAACCACTAGGGGGGAGCGTATCGACATCATACTTTTAAGGGCTAGTTGAAAACCAGAAGGGCTAGTATAAACCTTACCTTACTAGCCCTTCGGGCTAACTTGCATATTGTCCTTATTTCTACCCCTGCTATGGTAACCCTGACCCCACCCTCTCACCTATTCAGGTAGGTTGTTACCATGCAACCACCTGTAACCCTCACCCCCCCCCCATCCTCTCACCTCTTCAGGTAGGTGTGGACGTCCTCGTACCCGTTCTCGCGCACGAACGTGTACAGCTGGCCCGTGCACGTGCGGCCGGAGCGGCGGCGGCAGATGCTACAGTTGCAAATGTCGCGGCACACGGGGCACAGCCACTCAGGGTCCATGAGCACCTGCCGTGCGTCCTCACCGTACCTACAGACAGCGGGGACACACCGTCAGACACCGCACCATGAGACACCGTGAGACACTGCATGATGAGACACCGGATACAGGTATGCCGTGAGACACTGTGAGACACTGCACGATGAGACACCGGATACAGGTATGCCGTGAGACACTGCACGATGAGACACCGGATACAGGTATGCCGTGAGACACCGGACACAGGAGTGCTATGAGACATCACACAGTCAGACAGCAGACATGCGTATGGCGTGAGACACCGGACACAGGAGTGCTATGAAACATCACACAGTCAGACAGCAGACATGCGTATGCCGTGAGACACCGGACACGGGAGTGCTATGAGACATCACACAGTCAGACAGCAGACATGCGTATGGCATGAGACACCGGACACAGGAGTGCTATGAGACACCGGACACAGGAGTGCTATGAGACATCACACAGTCAGACAGCAGACATGCGTATGGCGTGAGACACCGGACACAGGAGTGCTATGAGACATCACACAGTCAGACAGCAGACATGCGTATGGCATGAGACACCGGACACAGGAGTGCTATGAGACACCGGACACAGGAGTGCTATGAGACATCACACAGTCAGACAGCAGACATGCGTATGGCGTGAGACACCGGACACAGGAGTGCTATGAGACATCACACAGTCAGACAGCAGACATGCGTATGCCGTGAGACACCGGACACAGGAGTGCTATGAGACATCACACAGTCAGACAGCAGACATGCGTATGGCATGAGACACCGGACACAGGAGTGCTATGAGACACCGGACACAGGAGTGCTATGAGACATCACACAGTCAGACAGCAGACACCGGACACAGGAGTGCTATGAGACATCACACAGTCAGACAGCAGACATGCGTATGCCGTGAGACACCGGACACAGGAGTGCTATGAGACATCACACAGTCAGACAGCAGACATGCGTAGGGCGTGAGACACGAGGTATAGGTGCATACCAGAGATGCCAACACATATTTGAAGCAATCTGTAGTTTCTGGCCATCAACTGGTCGTAGTGGTGCAAAAGGAACAGAAATTCGTATACAATACGGATAAATCGTAGTGGTTGGCATCTCTGGCATATGATAAGCACATCATAGCGGACACGTCATACTGCGAGAGTCCATGGGCTGGTTGTAGGGAGCGTGAGCATCCAACTTTACATTTTACGAAGGAAGGTTTACATTTTTTATATTTTCATATTTTTATTATAATTATATCGATTCATAGGGTCTTCTAGTCCGAGACTCCCACCAGGGTAAACTATGGGCGCTGGTCAGAGTTATGTATATATATTTCATACAGACAAAGCAAGGGAAGGAGAGTGCAAGGTCTAACACAAATAACTGACACGCCCAGATTCTTAGAATTACATCAAGCAAGAGTGTATTATGTATGAGCATACTTAATACGCTCTTGATTACATGCTTTTCTACATTCATTTCACAGCGGTTCAAACCATTTGCTCGTGCGTACCTATTCCTGAGACACGGGCCACAAAACTGGCCCCTAACCCCTGAGCAGTCAGGCCCCCGGCAGATGGTCTTCACATCGCGCGTTTTCTGCCGGCACTGGTGGCAGGTGGTTCCCTGCAAAAACACACACAAGGAGAAACATAAATATATACACAGCCCTGCCAGACTAGGTCAACACCTAACAACACGTGCAACTGTTATACATCGATGTCGAGGTGTTATACATCGATGTTATCTGGTATCGGTTGGGATACTACAGAACAGTTTCTCCACACAGAATCTCACAGAAGTATCTACTATTTATACACAGAATGCACAGAAATATCTACTCTATATAATAATATATAGAAAATGTTAGCAAAATATCTACTCTTATACACAGAATGCACTGAAATATCTACTCTATAATATAGATATAATATTGTATATTTCTGTAACACAATGTCTATAAAGAGTTGATGTTTTATAGTATAGTAGTTATATGTATTATATACAAAAAAGTCGGCAAAAATTCTACTCTTTATAGACAGAACGTTAGAGAAATATCTACTGGGCATACAATGGGCATATATTTATAGTGTTTCCGAAAACATGGGTAAATGCTAGATCGATAACCCTACACGGGTTATCTAACGACGTGTCATTGACTGTGCGATCGCGGATGCTGCTTACATTGATCGCATCGTAGGTCTTCTCGCTAACGTGATCCGACACCAGCTTCAGATCCTCGCTCGTTATCTCCTCCACCGGCACGATGACCCTCTCCCCCGCCGCCCGACCTCCTCCCGTCGCCCTCCTCGGCTTCCTCTTCACCTCCTCCTCATCCTCCTCCTCGTCCTCCTCCTCCTCCTCCCAGCGTTCGCTGTAATAATGCTGCTCCTCTTCTTCCAGGATCTCGGTGAACGATCGGTGTTTGAACGGGAAGCGTATCTTGAGAACCTGCGATGGAACGAAGGACACGGAAAGCATCAGAAAACAACACAACATTGTCATAGCACACAAATGGGGCCCACGCCGGCTCTATAAAATACAGATCCATCACCACTACACCCACGTTGACATCAACGTGCGTCTTATATATTATTATATTATACATATTAGACACGACGTGGCTATAGAGGTAGCTAATGCGATTTAATTAAATAGGATAATAACTAGAACTAATTATTACTAATTAGGACTCTCCTTCTCTTAGTTCCTTCTCTCATCATGGAGAATAGCCCTGGCTGGAAATCAAGTAATTAGGACGAGCGTCGACGATCGCGGCTGCACGCGCACGACCGGCATACTGTATACGCTGTATATTTCGCGGTGGTTGAATTTTTCGCGAATTTCGCGAACGCGTCCCCGACCGCGAAAATAACAACACGCTGTTCTTCACCGATTCGGGAATTCACCGACCGCGAAATTGTCCGTCAAGTCTGAATTCACGAAAATATCTCTACCGAGAAAAATATGGCGTATGCATTACCTGCGAGCACTCCATCTCGGGCGTGATGTTGTCTTTCTTAGTCTGCCCGCGCGTTCTGTACGGCATGTACTCACGCGGGATCCGCACCCTAGTCTGCACCCGCCTCCTCTTCGCTTGCTGCGTCTGCCAGCGTGCGTCATCGCGCCAAACACAACACGTGACGTTTCGTTATATGTGTGCCCGTTAGAACACAGAGCTAAGTAGTAATTAGCCAACTTTATTGCTATGCCATAATGTACAGAGAGAGAGAAACAATGGCTCCACCTATGAGCAACTTAAATCATCAAATATATTACATGTATTTTGTCTTCACAGAACGGGTGATAGCTGCGTGAACTTCGATTGGGGGAATGCACGTGGCAATTTGCACGGGTCGGAAATGCGTCTTTGTAAGAGATGCACTGCCTTATGCGTGTGTAATAACGCACGTTTAAACGAACACGACATGTTTTTGTAAATCATTTACCTCTGATTTTACGTAATTCTTCAAAGAATCAAAGCAAGTGTGTGCAAATGAAGATACTAGGTTAACATTTCCATCTAGATAATTTGGGATAAGAAGCACAAGGCAGCAATGATGCAAGCTCATATTTAATTAAGTAAACAAGATGCAAGACATTAATGCCATAAAAACTTACCTTAACAACTGCATTTGCTATAACATCCTTGTGCACTTCCTTAATTTCAGAAACAATAGAGGTCAACTTGAAAGAAAAAAAGATACAAATTTATTAGTATTACTTTCTCATTCGAGCCCATCAATCTATAGCAAATCATATCATTTGAATATATAATTATTATAACAGGGTTCCTATCTGACCAGTGGCGTAGCTAGGATTTTTTCAAGCGGGGGGGCACTGGAGGGGCCTTACATTTTCGTTGGGGGGGGGGGGGGGCACAATATAACTTTTCTTTGTATTATACTGTTCTAACGGCATTGTTTTTAATTGAAATTTTTTTTTATCAAGCATGAATTTTCAGTGGGGGGCACCTGGGAGGGCACAGAAAATTTGTGGGGAGGCTCGTGCCCCCTAGGCCCCCCCCCCCGTAGCTACGCCTCTGCTATCTGAGTATCTCTTACTTACCATCTCTTTCCTCTCTGCTATATTTTTCCGTCTCAATTCCTCGTATTCGCACTTTTCCGGCAACATATTTGGCTGCAACACAAAATTACACTAAACGAAGAGCAGCCGCAAGCAACCATTGAACCAACAAATGTCTGCATGAATACATGTAAATATGGATGGTGGGATTCATGGATTGATGAATGGATGGATAGATGGATGGATGGATTGGGGCCGGGTGGGTGCATGGGTGGGTGGACGGTTGGATGGATGGATGGACGGCTGGCTTGCTGGCTGGCTGGCTGGCTGGTTGGATGGATGGTAGCCCGACCAGGCTGTGCGACGGATTGTCTATAAAACCCTCTAATACAATATTCTAACCCTAGCAATACCGTTTCTTGGAGCTAGATGGATGGATGAGTGGGTGGATGGATAGATCTAAGTAGATGGATGGATGGATGGATGGATGGATCATGGACGGATGGATGGATGGATGAATGAATGGGTGGATGGATAAATGCATGGATCAGATAAGATGTATAGATAAACAGACAGAAGATAGAGCGAAATAACGTCTCTAATATAACGTACGTCTTACTCTTAGTACTTGTAAGTTGTAACTTGTGATGAATTAGGCCTCGAGATTATATATACTTGCGACATGGTATATAGGTACTACTACTAGGTATAAGTAACAGGTTATCTAGCTACAATATATAAGTGATCCATTAAGCAGGCTGTGGGAAAAGGTCGCATGCCATAACCAAGTCCTAGCTGCATTACTATCGGCCTATTATAGGCCTACAGTACGCACTGTAGCCTGTAGCGTAGGAGCTCACTGTACTCTGTTCCCAGAGATTTCCCGCGCTTTCTTTGGAAGGCGTGTGATACTGACATGCCTTATAACAATACTACATCTAACAGCAATACAACACCATACTTCTGCAGTTTATGCCGAAGAATTGATAGAGCAGATATTCACGTTTATTCAACTCACCAGCATGTTGATTGTTATGCACACAGTAACTCACAATTCCCAACAAATTCGTGGCAATACTCAGCAACACGAAAACCCCGCTTCGGACGCTAACCTTTCAACACGGACTCACGGAGTAATAGCAAATTTGGCAACCAGGATGTTTTGTCACCAGAACAAAATTCCCCGTGGTATTTATAGCGCCTTATCCTATCGCCAGATTCGCCACAACCAGTGCTGTAAAACGACAAAACATTTGCTATTAGCATATTATAAACATAACTATAAGCAGTATGATTAATTAGATTTCTGAAGGAGATTCTTAAAGCCATATGAGTGGAAACATATACCGGATAATTCAAGCAATCAATATCTCTGTACGTTGCACGTAGATACGAAGTCTAAGATTACAAGCAATATTTGACTGCTATATATGCAGCAGTTTAATTAATATGCTTAATCACTGTAAACAACCACAAAATAAATGTAATAACTAATAAAGCAAAGAATTATCGCATCAGTGTAATCTTATCCTTGAAACTGTGTTAATGATTCCTTTGACGGTTATATTCCTAAAAACTGCATGTGGAAATAACAATTATTTTTAGGTCGTCATCACGCAAATAGGCAAGTATATATCTACTCTCTAGCCAGTGGCGTAGTTAGGGGGGGGGCAAAGGGGGCCATGCCCCCCCCTGTTGATCCGAAAGGGAAAAAAGAAAAGAAAAAAGAATTTTACTACTAAAATGAGAATTGTCGTAGTCAGAATGAAGGCTGTACATGTACTCAAAAGTGCCTCAAATACAATCTCCTGCGATCTACATTTTCAACATTTTCTGGGGTGGAAAATCGATGATTTTCGTCTTAACCCTATGGCGTCGCGCGTGTCCTTGTTCTCGCAGAGTCAACTAGTGACGATTCTCGACTTTGATTGCCACTGCACGAGACACGCTACCCGTTAATAATGCCGTGTTCAAATTTCAGGCCATGCTGCGGTCGTGATGAGGGAACCACACAGTAATACCGGTACTCTGAATGAAAGCTAGCAGCATTCAACTTCGACGCCCTAGCTATTACGCCTGGTGATCGTGACCACATTCAAACAAAGCTTGCGAGCTTCGTCCGCGGCGACTCCGCGCACCCGAATGCTAAATGCTCTTTGCATGATCTATGGTACACCGTCAGACGAAAGCCGGCTGTGTGTGTGTGTGTCACTGTGCGTGCGTGCGTGCGTGCGTGCGTGCGTGCGTGTGTGTGTGCGTGGTCATCTCGATCCGTGTGACAGCGTGTTTTCACCGTTCAGATAATGAGATATAAATCTCTGAAAAAAAACTGATTTAACGTTGATTTATTAAACCTACAAAATGCATATTACTCTTAGTACTCCTAGTACTTATAGTTTAAATCCTCCCCGTCCGCCCCACATATACATAAACGACACATTGTTTTTGTTTGGTTCCCCGTACCTTGGCGGAGACAGCGGGAACTAACGATTCCTCACGTGCAAGGAGCTACATATACCATATATAGGTATATGTAGCTCCTTGCTCACGTGATGCCCGCATACCATCTAGAAATGTACAAGCATTTTTGCGTGCCTTCATGATCTCGCCGCCATATTGAATTCAGATGCGAAGTATTACGAAATCTTGTGTTCAAATGTAATTTCAACGCGTCCGCACTGCTGGATACTGCCAGACACACCTTCGCAAAGGTAGGAAACCGCTAAAACATTTTCTTAGGATTACGAAAAAGTGATACGACTACCGTAGAACGTTGAAATACGCCAAAGTAACCAATTTTGTTTCAGCGAGTTCAATCGCAACCGGGTCGCAACCCCCCGCCACTGACCACCCCGTTTGTTATATGTTTATTCTAGTTTATGTGTATGTATTTTTTCTATGTTTAAAATGTTTATTTTTAAAATGTGTATTTTTTCATATGTTTGTTCTATGTTTCGGAATTCTAGTAAACTCCGGCTTGCAAAAGTCCCTTGTACCAGCCGGTACTTCAATAGCCCTGTTCCGTACATGTGCAGGATGATTAACAAATTGTAAATATAGGCACTGCATTTTTTACAATAGCATGGATAATTAGTCTTTTGCTTGCGCCCCTTTATAAACATTTTGGTCTCTTTGAAATAACTCTCTGGACAACTTTCGGTTATGTGATATGTTTGATTCTATCATTGTGTCGCATTTTAATTGTAACTATTTTTTGACCAAGGATTACGTTATTTTAAATTTAGTATATATTCTAAAGATGGGTTTTAGTTTAGTGATATAATTTTACGAACCAACATTTTAAGTGATATCTATGTCTTACCATGGGACATATATTATTGTAAATATCTTCAATTTCAGTTTTATACTGCCTGATGATATCTTGTTTGCAAAATTTATTTTAATTGTAACGTTGTTAACACTAGTTTTGCAATAAACCTATTATCTATCTATCTATTTTTATATTATACAATGTTATGTTCCCACAATGTTACCGTTATGTTACAATGTTATGTTATGTTATGTTATGTTATGTTATGGACCACAATGTAAATAAGTGTCCTAGTCACGTCTTTTGTGTTTTTATCTTCGATAATTATCTAGCTGCATATTGTTAATTTATGCTCTTATCGTTGTAATGTATGCTTTGTTAATTATCGAAATAAATTTATCTATCTACATTACACACTCTGACGTGCTTTCAGCGTACGCATCACGCGTAAACCTTCACCCTGACCAAACCCTCGTTCACCGACTTTACTATTAGTATTACCTCGAGCTATGCTAAGCGAAAGCAAATATTTTCTTTGCCGAAGAACCTTCCGTTGTCTGAGTTCTTTGTGCGGACAGCGAGCCGTACGTTCAGGTATTTCGACGCACTTAACCACGTTACAATAAAAACATCGGACAAGGTACGTCGCACCATACAAGGAAAAATGTTTTATTGCCCTTGCTGCATCATCCGTAGTGCCTTGTGGTTACATTGCGCCATAGAAATTACAGACACTTAAAGACACTAGAGTCTAACTAGTAGTATTTATATGATTGGGCCAATAGTTTGGGACTGCGATGTGCTGGCCACACGAGCATGAACGTATAAAGCAAGCAGAGGCACGCACGCAGACGATGATGTACACAATTATTAATTACTACATACACGGATAGCTAAACACTAGTGTTACACAATTCACGCAGAGCATATAAATCAACTCAAATAGAGCATAATAACAATGCTTTGATTCACGTTTATATAAATTATTAATTCCGATAGATGGCGCGAGAAAGTTACAATCGATAGTTTCGTTATCTGTTCTCATCATTGCATCACCTGTTGATTTTATCAGGAGTGAATAATAATAAATCTATTATTTATTCACGCCTGATTTTATTCATGGGTGTATACGAGTATTTATCTAATACTTTCTGTATGTGTTGCCAACATAGTTATTCGTAGTGCACTAATAATTATGTTCCAATGATATAATTATTTCCCAACGTAATTCAGACGTCATGCGAATGGAGGAATTTTCCCTTCGAATGGAAATGCTCGTCGAAATAGACAGGAAACCTATTATCCAAGTCTACGAACGGGACTATGCAATATCAGGAGGTATAATAATAGACTATTAATAATAATAAATTTAATAATAATAATAGTCGTTAGTTGTGGATCAGATCGATAATTGATCAAGTTTACGACATAAGTCTGACCATTTATCTCTATAATTCCTAATAAAATCGATAATTGATTAGGGTTACGGCACTAGTCGGAGCAGCAGCGAAATACGCCGAGATCCCACGGCTACACGTACAACGACAGACGTGTCAAGATGGCGTCATGCGGGTAGTTTCCGCCATCTTGCCGCTCATTTTACTCTCTCTCTTTCGTCTCAGCATCCGAAAACTCACGGAGCTGCATGCTTACGAGG